TTTTTTTCCGGTACGCGGGCCTCTCACTGCTGTGGCCTCTCCCGTTGCGGAGCACAGTCTCCAGACGCGCAGGCTCAGCGGCCATGACCCACGGGCCCAGCCGCTCCGCGGCACGTGGGATCCTCCCAGACCGGGGCACGAACCCGTGTCCCCTGCATCAGCAGGCGGACTCTCAACCACTGCGCCACCAGGGAAGCCCCCGGAGTACTCTCTTTTGATATGTCTTCAAGGTCACTGGCTCTTTCCTCTGTCTTCTTGATTTTGCTCCTAAGGCCACCCAGAGAATTTTTAATTTCAGTTATTATATTTCTGCATTTGTTTCAAGACAGTCCATGACAGGTCTCTCTGTCTGGTTATGATCATTGCTTTATTGCCTCGTCAAGGACTTCCAAATTCTCTGACATGTTGTCTTTTTTTTTTTTTTTTTTTTAATTTATTTTTGGCCGCGTTGGGTCTTTGTTGCTGTGCGCGGGCTTTCTCTAGTTGCGGCAGGCGGGGGCTACTCTTTGTAGTGGTGTGTGGGCTTCTCATTGCGGTAGCTTCTCTTGTTGAGGAGCACGGGCTCTAGGTGCGCAGCTTCAGTAGTTGTGGCTCGCGGGCTCAGTAGTTGTGGCACACAGGGTCTAGAGCACAGGGTCAGTAGTTATGGTGCACAGGCTTAGTTGCTCCACAGCACGTGGGATCTTCCTGGACCAGGGCTCGAACCCATGTCCCCTGAATTGGCACACGGATTCTTAACCACCACACCACCAGGGAAGCCCACATGTTGTCGTTTTTGTCTGTTAATTGTCTTTTCCTGAGATTTTCCTGGCTCTTGGTATGCCTGGTAATTTCGGATTGTATCCTGTATTTCGAGTATTATGTTATGAGAGCCTGGTTCCCATTTAAATCTTCTATTTTTGCAGACTGTCAATGTGCTTGTATTCACAGAGCATGTCCTGGCCCTCTTCCTTGGGGTGTGTTTGAATGTTAACTTAATTCTCAAGGCTTTTGCAATACTGCTCTGGTCTGCTGTGCTTGTGTGCTACCCGGAGCCAGTGTGAAGCCTGGCTGGTATGCCACACTGGATTCTGTTCTCAGAGCCTCTGCTGTGCGATCCTGGCCAGTTTCATGCATGGGCTGCTTGGGGGGTGAAGCCTGGACTTCATACTAGATCTAGAGGACTCCCTTCTCCATCTCCCCTCTCTAGTGCAGGGAATGGAGAGCTGGGGGCTCCACCCCGCTGTGTCTATCGCCCCATGCAGGAACTTGGGGCCCTGGAAAGCCTCCCTGGAGGCAGCACCCAGTGCAGAGGGGGAGGGATGGACCCCGCTTGGCTGTAGCTGGGACGGGGCAGTGGCACTGCTACCCTTGTGGTATCAGTAGCGTGGTCTTCCCACGAGTTGAGGTCCTGGCTCGTCTGCTCGCCTCTTCACGCCCCTCTGAGTCTCCTGAGAACTGTGTCCAGAGCCTCCTTGTAACTGGTGGCAGCGGTTAGGTGCGATATGTGGGCTCCATCTCCTTCTTGGTCAGAACCAGAACCTCCCACATGCCTTTCTTAAAGGCTAAAAGAAAACTATCAGAAGCTGGCAATAGAATCCCCCTCTGGTTCTACCTCAGACGGAGGGTTCTGACGTCAGAGGTCACTGGGAAAGAGCGAGAGGAAGGGGATTCCCCACAGAGAAGCTGCCAGAAAACCGGTGAAAAGGGGCCCCCTGCTGCCTCGCATGCAGCTGCCAACTGGCTCACAGCCCTCACTTTCTTGCCCTCCCCCAGGTTAGCTCTTAGGGGCCCCCCTCTGCCTTCTGCAGCCCCCGCTCTGGCTTCTGGGTCAGGCCTTGCAGGGACCCACGCTCTATGCCTCAGGACCCACCGCTCCTCCCCAGGGACGAGACCAGCAGAGTCAGAAATGGATGCCCTTTTGGTGGAGCTGGACCTTCCTGCATGGCCGGTGCCTGCACCTGGCACCTGGCCGTGCCCTTCCTGGTTGGGAGGGTCTGTGCAGGAGCTGGGCTGGCACAGCGGCCAGCCAGGGGAGCCAGGAAGAGAGCCCTCAATGTGTTGGGGCCCCAGAAGACTGGGGTTTGGCTGGGACGTGGGCGGCAGGAGGGGTGAGGCTGCCCGTTCAGCCACGTCCATGAAAACAGGAGGTGCCACTTGCCAAGCAGTAACTTTGTGTTGGGAATGAACTTCAGCCGGGGATGCTCCGACGGAGGCTGATGAGTCGTGGGTCCACGTGCCCGCTGCCTCCGTCCCTGCTGCTGTGGGGCTTCCTGGCCTCACGTCTAGAGAAGGGAAGCCTGTGGCCTCAGGGACAGGTACCGCAGGACCCAGCCCTGACCAACCCTGGGTTGTTTTGTGCCTCACCCCGGGGTCTGGAAACCCCATGCAGACGAGGTGGTAGAAGGATGTCGATCTCCTAAACCTCAGTCTGTTTACTGTCTCTGGAGCAGTCAGTGGAAGAACTCCAGGAAGGGGGGCAGGTCAGAGGATGGGCCCTCCCCTGGCCAATCCTTTCGACTCTGCATTTTCTCTGGGCCTCACGGCCTTCTCTGCATACGTGCGTCCGTCTCCCCTTCAGCGGGCCCAGTCCTGGTGTGTATGAAACGCAAGGGCGCCACAGTGTGGTTGGTAATTTCAGCGGGAAAGGCGGGGCTCTGGCTGTGGGGACTCGGGGCAGACCCCGGTGCCTGTTCTATCTGCGGAGGGCCTCTCGTTCCGTGGTGTCACCTAGAAACATCCAGGGACACCGAGACTGTGCGAGTGGCAGCCCGATTCCTCAGGCCAACGCACGCCCCTGTGCTCTGCAGGTCACCAGTTTGGGCTACATGCTGTAGGCACTAAGTGCCAGCAACCTCTCCACAGTGGCCGTCATGCCCGTGTCAGAGGATGTGCCCCTCACCGCCTTCACCCTGGAGCTCAAGCACGCCCTCAGCGCCATCGGTAAGCCCTGCCCAAAGGCACCTGAGGTCCGGTTGGACCCCCTCCTCCTGCCTCTCATCCTTCCAGGTTCTCCTGAAAGAGCACTTAGTGTTGCCCGCAAGGCTAAACCCTGGGCAGGGGGTGGAGACGGGTGCATTGCTGGGGAGAGGACCATCACAGTGAGACGGGCGCCTCTGGACAGTCTTGATGGGCAAACCCTATCTCACAGGAGCTGGTGTGAGTCACACCGCACTGCTCCTCCCAGCTGAACTCTGGGGCCTCCAGGGGCACAGAGACCCCTGAACCGCCCCCTGCCAGCTGGAGCCCATCTTGGGGTGTGAGCCTGGGGTGGGTGCATGCAGCTGCTCCACTACTCGGAGGGGACACCACAATGGCTGGGGCAGCTGACTGACCACGTGGAGAACACCCGCAGCTGGGGTCAGGCAGCTTAGGTCATGTTCCCAAGTTCCACAGCTGTTAAGTTTGGGGGCTCAAGAACAAGAAACTGAAATTCCTGAGAACCCTTAGGAATTCCCCAAATCATAAAGTATTCCATACTCTTAACACTTTATGTATATGTTTTTATATAATTGTGAGTGACCATAGTAAGAGACAATAAGTCAATTTTCTGAGATAGGGCTATCCTAAAGGTTTCAGGGGTGTCTTCAAAAATGATATAACAATAGGTGCAATGAATATTACATTACTATTATGGAACAATACATTGTGACAAGAGTATGTATCTTAATATGGTGACACTAGACACTTGATACTAGAAGGCATTAAATAAATGCCAAATGAAAATGATTTATAAAATTGAAGATACTACTATAAATATTTAATATGTAAAAGTTATTCTCCAAGGGAAAATTTAAATCACAGAAAGCATTAATTTGGATTCGTCTTGGTCTTTGTTTTATAACAAATATTCTGGATGTAGAAAACATCATACATTTTTCAGTGACGTTGGTCAGACTGTCCAGGTCACACCCAAAAGATCTGCAGTTGCACAGTGGAGATGTGTTGATTCATAAAAGCTTATTCCCTTTTTTTAAAAAACAAACAAACAAACCTTTTATTTTGAAATAATTACAGATTCACAGGAAGTTGTAAAAATAGTAAAGCGAGAGCCACACACCACCCCCTGCCCCAGGTTGCAGCACAGCGTCCAGACCAGGAAGTTGGCGTCCAGACCAGGAAGTTAGCGTCCGTGTGGTGTGCTGATTCATTTGTGTCCATGCAAATTTCTATTTCTTCGAGGAACTGGGGATCTTGACAGGGATTGCACTGAACTGTTGGTGGCTTTGGGTGGCACTGACATCCTAGCAGTGTTAAGTGAAAGCAGGCATCCTGCCTCGTTCCTGATCTTAGGGGGAAGCTTTCAGTCCTTTGCCTTCAAGTAGGATGTTAGCCGTTGGTTCTTCATGTATGGCCTTCAATATGTTGAGGAGGTTTCTTTCTATTCATAATTTGTTGAGTGTTTATATCATAAAGAGATGTTGAATTTTGTCAGTGCTTTTTCTGCATCAGTTGAGATGATCATACTTCCCCCCCCTTTGTTCTGTTAATGTGATTTATTACACTGATTGATATTCATATGCTGAGTCATTCTTGCATTCTAGGAATAAATCCCACTTGGTGTGGTATGTAATCCTCTTAATACCCTGCTGAGTTTGGTCAGCTCCTCCTTCCTGAGGATTTTGCATTGTCAAAGGTGCTCGTCTGTAGTTTCTCTTGGCGTCTTGGTCCCACGCAGACTTTGGTACTGGTGGGGCGGGGCGGGGCGGTGCTGGCCCCATGGAATGAGTTAGGAAGTGTTCCCTCCAGTCAATATTTTTGGAAGAGTTTGAGGAGGATTGGTGTTAATTTTTCTCTAAATATTTGGTAGAATTCCCTAGTGAAGCCACCTCATGCAGGGCTTTTTTTTTTTTTTTTTTTACTGGTTCAGTTTTCTTACTGGTATAGGTCTATTCAGATTTCCTGTTTCTTCATGGTTCAGTCATGGTAGGTTGTGCGTTTCTAGGAATTTGTCCATTTCATCCAGATGATCCATTTCGTTCGTATGCAATTGCTCACTGTACTCTCTTGTATTACTTTTTATTTCTGTAAAGTAGCTAATGTCCTACTGTTATTTCTGCATTTAGTAATTTGAGTCTTTTCTTCTTTATTCCTCTAGATAGAGGTTTGCCAATTTTATTGATTCTTTCAAAGAACTAACTGTTGGTTTCATTGATTTTCTGTTTTCCTGTTCTCTATTTTATTTATGTCTGTTCTGATCTTTATTATTTCCTTATTTCTGCTAGCTCTGGGTTTAGTTTGAGATTCTTTTTCCGGTTACTTAAGGTACAAAGCCAGTTGTTGATCAGAGATCTTTCTTCTTCCTCAAAGGAGGCATGTGTAGCTGTAAACTTCCCTCCTAGCTATGCTTTCACTGTGTCCAGTACATCTGGGAATGTTGTTATTTTTGTTTTCATTTCTCTCAAGATATTTTCTCATTTCTCTTGTGATTTCTTTGACCCACTGGTTGTTTATGCATGTGTTGTTTAATTTCCATATATTTTTGAATTTTCCAGTTTCATACCATTGTGATCAGAAAAGATACTTTGTGTAAATCCAATTTTTAAAAAAATTTTTATTGGAGCATAGTGCTTTACAATGTTGTGTTAGTTTCCACTGTACAGCAAAGTGAATCAGTTTTACAGATACATATATCACCTCTTTTTTGGATTTCCTTCCCATTTAGGTCACCACAGAGCACTGAATGGAGTTCCCTGTACTATACAGTAGGTTCTCATTAGTTATCTATTTTATTTTATTTTATTTTTTAAAGAAAGATTCCATTTTTCTCTCATTTTTTAAAAAATTAATTATATTTTAATTTGGTTGCGCCGGATCTTAGTTGTGGCAGGCGGGCTCCTTAGTTGCGGCCCGAGGGCTCCTTAGTTGTGGCATGCATGTGGGATCTAGTTTCCTGACCAGGGATTGAACCCAGACCCCCTGCATTGGGAGCGCGGAGTCTTAACCACAGAGTCTAACCACTGCGCCATCAAGGAAGTCCCAGTTGTCTATTTTATACACAGTATCAATAGTGTATATATATCAATCTCAATCTCCCAATTCATCCCACCCCCCCCACCCCCGCCTTGGTATCCATATGTTTGTTCTCTACATCTGTAAATCCAGTCTTTTTGTTGTTTTTTTTTAAGTCTTTATTGAATTTATTACAATATTGTTTCTGTCTTATGGTTTTGGCTTTTTGGCCCCGAGACATGTGGGATCTCACCTCCCTGACCAGGGGTCGAACCCGCATCCCCTGCATTGCAAGGAGAAGTCTTAACCACTGGACCACCAGGGAAGTCCCTGTAAATATAGTCTTTAAAGTTCTTTAGGACTTACCTCCTGGCCTAACATATAGTCTGTCCTGGAGAAAGAGAAGAGTGTGTGTTCTGCAGCCGGGCGGGTGGCCTTTCCTCTTTGTGCATTTTGGTGAGTGTGCAGTGGTATCTTGTTTGGGCCTGAATTTGCATTTCCCAACAACTAAGAAGTTTGTTTGTTTACTGGCCATTGGGATACCTTCTTTTGCAAGTGCCTGTCAAGTTGCCCACCCTTTTTATTGGTTTGTTATCTTTTCCTTGTTGACAGGCAATCTGGATACAGTCGCTTTATTGGATGAAAGTGTTGCAGATATCTTTCCCTCTGTGGCTTGTTTTTTTTATTCTTTTAATGATATCTTTTGACAAACATAAGTTGTTTATTCTAATATAGACCAATTTATTTATCAATTTTTTCCTATATTGTTACTGCTTTTTGTGTTTTATTGAAGAAATTTCATCCTGCCCCCAAATCATGAAGAGGTTCTTCTAAAAGCTTTAGGGTTTTACCTTTCAAGTTTACAATTCATTGGAGATTGATTTTGGTGATATGAGGTAGAGTCAGGATTCATTTTTCTATAGGATCTTCAGCTGCCCCAGAGCCCTCGCTTAGAAGGACTGGACTCTGCCCTGCAGTGCTCTTTTGCTGACAGTTAGGTGACCACATTTGTGAAGGGTGTTTTTAGAGTGAGGATCTAGGCCAATGGTCCTTTTCTTCCACCTGTGGGTGTCAGTCCACTTCCTCTGGCTTCCAGAGTTTGGGAGAGAGGCTGTGTGACAGCCAGGCGGACAGTGACTATCCAGGCCAGATCTGTCCTGGAGCAGCAGCCATGCCCCACAGAGCCAACACATAAGTGCCTAGGCATCACCCGGTGTCCACGCACTGCCCTGGACCTGCCCATGGCCTGGGCCCTAAGCCCAGGGACGGAATGGTCACCACAGTCCTGACTGGCTGGGGCTGCAGCCCGCACCTCGAGAGCCCAGAGCGCCACCTCCGGGGCGCTCCACACTTTCCCGAGGGCCTCCTCAGAGCCTTGCAAGTCTGGGCAGGCGGGCCCAGAGCAGGAGACGTGCCCTGAGGGCAGATAGAGCCCAGCCTGTGGTGCGCTGAGGACCTCAGGGCTGCGCTCCTTCCTGCAGCCAGACACGGCCTGCCTGTCCCACCTCGTCCTAGACGCACAAGAGGTGGACGGGGTGAGCCACTGCAGTGCCCAGGAGTGCCCGCCCTCGCAGGAACGTGAGGCATCAGCCCCGGGGGGACTCCCTCTCTCTGTCAGACCCACGTGGGGTGACGAACTCGAGCTTGAAGCTCTTCCCTGCCTGGCCCGACCCGGCCTGACCCCCAGAGCAGGACTGCACCCCCCAGGGGGACCAGTGCCCTTTGCCCCGAGCCCCCAGAGGAGTTGCTTCCCCGCATCGACGGGCTTCTGCCATTTGAGTCAGAGCTGCACAGACGCACAGGTCAGTCCAGCAGCCACATCACAGGGCACCATCCTGTGAAATGCACCCTCATGCTTGTGCCTCCAAGAAAGCAGATGCTGCCAGTTAAAAACAAGGCGGTGATTTCTTGTTTCTCGCCTTCTGATTACAAGCCCTCAGGGAAGCTCAGGTGTAATCGAGGGTGTAAGCAGGAAGCCATAGGGAAGAGCCCGGCTTCTCCTGCAGCAGCGGGACTTCTGCCTCATCAGGGCAGTCCAGCAGCCTTCCTGACACTGAAGGCCGCTGGCCTCTTAGCTTTTGTCACTGCCCCTGGCGGCCCTCTCACATATTCTGACGCTGGCCCTCCTGGCTGAGAGCAACTGTGTCTGTGTGGACAGCAGCTCTAAGACCCTGTAGATGGAGGAAGCACCCTGATCCCTGGTGATAGACACCGGTGAACCGCACCTGACTGGAGCCCAGCCAGCCGGGCTGCCTTGGATTTGGGAGACTGTCTAATCTCGCACTTTACAAGCTTGTGCTTCCCTGCCCCCATGCATACACAGTCTCAGTGCTGCAGAGATTCAACCCCTTCATGTGTAGAGGAGGAGACTGAGGTTCAGAGAGGCCACCCCTCCCTGTACTTGCTGCAGCCCTTCCACCGCCACACCTGCAGCCTCACCTGCCCAGAGGGTCTCCTTCAGGGCCACAGGCACGTCCTCATGAGTGGTGAAAGGCTTATTGCTTTCCAGAAGAGCAAACTTCCAGGAGAAGGAAGGGCCTCGCTTGTCCTCCAGTGTGAGCTGCCAGCACAGTTTTCTATATTTGGTGGTTGTGTTTTCAGACCCTGCCCTGCTGCTGACCAGCGCCAACATAAAACAGCGCCTTGGCTCTGCTGCTCTGGACAGGTATGCCAGCCTCCATGTCAGAACAGCCTGGCCGAGCTTGGCTTCCTGCTCTCAGTGGGTCCCAGCCCGGCCTTGAAATGTGCCCCTCTGTCTGTGCCTTCCAGTATCCACGAGTACTGGCTGTCCAGCTGGCTGGGGCAGCAGGAGGACCTCGACCTCCACCGGTTTGTGCTCTACCAGGCGGACAGCACGCTCACACCCTGGACCCAGCACTGTATCCGGCAGGCCGACTTCATCCTTATCGTGGGCCTGGGCGAGGTGAGCCAGCCTGCGCGAGTGGGGCAGTGGGCGGGGCCTCAGCAGGTGGAGGGCGGGGCCTCAGCAGGTGGAGTCCGTGGCCAGGGCTTGGGGGGAGGGGCCCGGCCGGCTGCTGGGTTGGGCCAGTCAGTGGGTGTGGTCAAAGGGCTGCAGGCTGGGCAGGTCTTGGCGGGAGGGGGGCCCCACTCTCTCCTCAGACCCCTTGTTTCTCTCTTTTCCTCTGAATGAAGTCAACAACTCAGGAAGGGATGGATAATAAGAGCAGACACCCAGGTATTTGCTCTACACATTTTGGAAACATTTTGCCGTGTTTACCTGTGACGGTTGTTTTAGCAGGGGCAGGCAGGTACCCCGAAGTGGCCAGTGGCCACTTTACAAGGCAGAGGCTCTTGTAAAGTCAGAGCCTCTGTCCGTGTTTCACGTTTTTACTACGTGTGTATATGGCACTGGATTTTTTATATAAATAGTGTTCTAGTTTATACCATCTTGAAATTTCCTTTTTCCTCAACACTTACACTTTTGAATTTTATCCATATTGTTTCACTCGTCTTATGGCTGTTTAGTTTCTATTTGTGAATGCCCCACCATCTGTCTCTTCTCAGCCAACGGACTGTGAAGTTACTTCACTACACGCGTGTGCAGGGGTGTCTTCAGGGCGCCACCTGGAATTGCTGCCGAGCGGCAGAGGCTGTGTGTCTTCAGGTTCAGAGAGCTGCCAGACTGCACTCCTGTTGTGCATGTGATGTGGGCGAGGTCTGGGGCTCCATGCTCCCTGCTCTGCACTGTCAGTCCCCTGTGTTCCCAACTTCCTGGGTGTGAAGTGGAGTCTCGTTGTCCCTTCGCTTTGTGTTCCCCACCTCCTTCCTCTGCCCCGTCGTCTGTTCTCATTTCACGCTTCCACCCCGGTCCTGGGACAGCTACAAACTCGTCATCTCCGATGTGGGTTCCTGTTCTTACCAGGAGTGATGCTCCCTTGTGGGGGAGTGTCTGCAAAAGAATGTTGCAGTGTGTGCGCCGCCTCCCTTCCTGCAGGCCCCCGGAGCTCCCTCATGCCCCCGCACCCAGCCCCGCACCCCCTGGGTCACAGCTTCACAGAGGAAGGGCCAAGCACACCACAGCCGGGTCGGTCTTCAGAACCAGGGTACCACCCACCAAGGCCAAGACCTGTGTTGGGCTCGGGCGTGAGGCGTGGTCCCATCCAGCCTGGGACCTCTGTGGACAGCCCCGCACTGGCCTTTGGCTCTGTCCTGCTCGAGCCTACGGCCTCTGCTGGGCTGCCTGACGCGGGGCTCCACTCTCCCTCAGCTGGAGCGGGTGCTGGAGAGCACGGCTGTGTGTGCCCAGAAGCACCAGGAGGACGGGCCTGCGCCGGCCAGCACTGTGCAGCAGCTCAACGTGGGGGCTGCTGCTGCGGCCACCTGCACCCCTGCTGCCCTCGCCGCGCCTTCCCCAGGAGGAGCCTGCCCAAGCTGGTGAGGCCCGGGGCGGCTGGGGGCCCTGCCGACCTGCTTCGGGCCCTTTCCCTCTGACTCTGCTCTGAGCCCGCTGGCTCTGATGAGGGCGCTTGCTCTCCATGAGCTCTCCCACTCCTGTGCACTCACATCTGCTTGAGCTTGGTCTTCGGATTCCCGTGGCCACAGGGTGACACGCCCCCCGGATGGGGGAGCCCCTACGGGGGACCAGAACCCCAGAGCAATGGGCCTGAGGTTCCCACCTTCAGCTGAGGCCTCAGGTTGGCACTGCTTCCTCCTTTGGACAGAAAAGCACACAAATCCTGAGGCGCCTCCTCCTCAGGGGTCCCCAGCCCTGGCAGCTGCGCGCGGGCCGTGGTGGGAGAGCAGGGGCCGCTGGCTCGCTACAGCCCACCCAGCCCCTCAGCTTGGTGGAGGCACCCTGCCAGCGGCGTCTGTGCCCAGGTGTCCAAACCCCGAGCGCCCTCCACCTCGGGGCTGGTGGGCTTCGGCTGGGCCCGTCGGTATGTGGCCCAGCTGCCCGCACTGCGCGCCCCACCCCAAGAGCCCTCCCAGGTGAGCCCGGGCGCCGAGGTGACGACTGGGTCGGGACCAGACCCACCGGCCGTGTCCAGGAGGAGCTTCGGGTCAGGAGAGGGGGATAACAGCCAGGCCACGTCGGGTGTGTGAACTCGGCCCGGCCCTCCGCGTCTGCCGGCCTCTCTCGCAGGTGGAGCCGTCCGAGCGGGTCTGCCAGAGGCCCCCGGACCAGCGCTCGGACTTCTCCCGCCTGGCGCCTGGCGTGGGTGCTGACCGGCAACGCTGTCGCCTTGGTACCCGGGGGAGGGGGAGCGAGGTGAGTCCCGCCCGTTCCCACGGGCCACACGTCGGTACGTGTGCGCCTGCGCCGATCCTCCCCGAGCTGGGCTGGCGCACATGCCCGGCAGTGTCTCCCACGGGCCGGTGTCCCCTCCCTGCGCAAAGACAGTGGAAGAGAATGTATTTTTCGTTCCGATTGTCTCCTCTTCTAAAAACTCCGTTCTGACCCTTTGCCAGTCTTTCCGCTGGGCTGCGGGAGAGTGTCTTTCCATTTTAATGCACACTTTATGGAACAGTGATCTGCTCTGCTCACGACTGTCGCGAAGCAGCCTCTAGTTTCTTGGGCTGGTGGGTTCCTTTAAGGATTTTTAACCCAAACCACTTGTACCCCAAGTTGTCCTGACGCTTGCTGCCATTCTCCTGACCTTGGTTAAAGAGAAAAATACACGTGGGGGCAGAAACGGAGGGGCAGGTGTGTGGTGAGGGTGTGACAGGCCAAGGGCCCCAGGTGAACCGGTCGGCGCGAGGAGGGGCAAGGCAGCACCTCTTGCAGCCTCTGTGCTGGACCCCCGCCCCTCTGAGGGCCAGGTCACAGGGCCAGGGGTGCCCTGTGGGGTGGATACCCTCACACCCCTGGCCTCGGAGGACGTCAGGCCAGTCGCTGGGCTGGCGGGCTTGTGTCGCTTCCCCAGCACTGCAGCGAGGCTCCCTGAGTGCCAGGCCTGGGTGCCAGCCCTGCTTACCGTGCTGGCCACCTGTCCCCAAGGCCTGACGGAGGAGCCTGGCTCGCCACCTGCCTTGGCCCGAGGATGTCCCTTCCAGAGTGAGCTGGAGTCACTGTGCGTGCACCCTGCAGAGTCGGGGCTGTGCTCGAGCCCAGCCCCTCCACTCCTCGGCTAATTGTAGCTGGAGAGGGTCAGAGAAATGATGCAGGTGGAGCCTCAAAACTGCTTGTCTGGACGGATTCACGCTCCTTACTTCCCCACTGTTGGAGACTCGGAGGCTCCAAGTTCTGGCCTGAGACCCTTACAGCCAGGAAAGTGGGGTGGGCACGGGAGGGCCTGCCCTTCTGGAGACCCCGCCTCCTCACCCCCCCCTCACACACACCCCGCCTCCTCACTCCGCCCCCGCCGCCTCCTCACCCCCAGCCTCCTCACTGGCCTCCTGTGCCTTCAGTGCACATTGTGGCCTCTCTCCGAGGGCTGCGCTGCAGGGGAGGGATCCCACGGTCTGTAGGCAGCGGGCCGGGGTGGAACGGCCTGTACATGTTGACCCTGGCACCCTGAGTGCGGCCTGGCCTGGGTGGTGAAGTAATGAGTACTCTGCTCGTTTATTTTGGGTGATTTGGGGGCATCGTGTAGTGCCATGTGTTTACTTGAAAGCTGAGCCAGTGGGCCTAGAAAATCTGGTGATTTACCCAAAGTTGCCAGGATGGGGGTAGCACTCAGGCTGCTTTCTGCAGGGCTGGGACAGTGAGGTGCCCTGGAGCAGCTGGCTTGCAGCAGCATTTTTAATGAAAATTTAGTTAAAGTAATACTTAGTTTAAAAGCCATGTGGCCATTCTGTAAGGCCGTATGGTATTTGTATAACACACAGCAGTCCTCTGCCCCACCAACAAATCCAGAGATACCCCACAGACAATATCCCATAGACAAGTCACTTCCAACTTTTCTTCAGCTCTTTCCTCATTACGTTTCTTTTTTTTTTTAATTGAAGCATAGTTGATTTACAACACTGTATTGGTTTTAGGTGCACAGGAAAGTGATTCAGTTTTGTGTGTGTGTGTGTGTGTATTATACATATGTTGTTTTTCATATTCTTTTCCATTATGGATTATTACAGGGTATTGAATATAGTGCCCTATGCTGTACAGTAGGACCCTGTTGTTTATCTGTTTTTTCATTTTTTTCAGTTTTAGATGATTAAGTTCCTAACCGTCCCCATATAGGCACAGGGTCAAAGTCTGTTTGTCTGTCTCTGTCTCATATCCTCCGTCTCTCCTCCTCCTCAGCACAGGATCCCGGTGTGGTCCCCTCCCTAGTCAGCCATTGCTCGCTGTTTGCCTTACAGCAAGGTGGGTCTTCTTTGGAGCTAAGCCTTATCCTACTGTATATACGGCAGTGTCTCCCTCCTCAGAGTAATAATTGCTCAGTAGTCCACCCCAGATGCTGCTGGAGACGCAGCCCCCCTCAGTGTGCTCAGACCACCAAGTCATCTCTGCTGAACTCACTCCTCTCAGCTCTGCTGGTTGCTCCCCAGTCATGCTGCTGGCATGTTGCCTTGGAGTTTCCCTTCACCGTGATCCTGGGAACTGCCTTTGTCTCCCTCCTGTGTCCAGCTCCACTTCTGGATACCATGTCTTCCTCTTTCTTGATACATTCCTGATTTTGGTAGAGTTCATACTCTAGAAGTTTCCTTAAGAGAAGCTGCATGGGAGGGAGGAGTTTCAACGCCACACTTAGCAGAAAGTTTCCTCATTCTGCGCTCACACTCGCATGACAGTTTGGTTATGGAACTCTAGATGGAAACAATTTTCCTGAGAATTTTACAGTGTGGCTCCGTCATCTCTTTAGCTCCCAGTGTTGCTGCTCTGAAGCTCAGTGTCGTGTTATTCACGAAGCCTGTTCCTTCTGGACCTTGTAGGAGACTCTGTTCACTCCTGTGTTTCTGGAAGTACTTGATGATGTGCCTGGGTGTCTTTTCCCCCATTAGGCTGGGCAGACTCCCAGTGGGCCCTTTCAAATTCGGAAATTCATCACCTTCAACCCTGGGAGTGTTGGATACGGCCCACACCCCCTGCTGCCTGCTCCCTCTTCTGGATCACAATCCAGACGACCCCTCATCCTCTCGTGCTCCTATCTTTTCTTTTCTGTCCCAAGTTTTCCATCTTTGTCTTCCGTTCTACTTTCTGGGTGATTTTTCTCAAATGTATCTTCTAACTGATCTGTTTTTGCTAAGGTGTTTCTAATGCCTGAGTGCTTTCCTCAGTTGTTTGCTGTTTGTCTAGCAGTGCCGTTTGAACTTCTCTGAGAATAATAACGCTTGCTTGCTCGGTTTTCCGTTCTGTTCCGTTCCGTGCCAGCCTGTGTCAGCTTGATCCTGTGAATTCCGTGTCTCTGAGGCTGTCTGTGTGCGCTGACCGCACCCGTGGCGTCGCCGCATGGGACCCTGTGGGCCCCTGTAGTCCTCCTCCTGTCGACAGACACTTGGGTTATTTTCTGGGTTTGGTTACTGTGCACAAAACGGCTACAAGCATTCTTGTACAGATCTTTCCTGTGCACATCTTGGGCTAGTACCTAGGAGTGGAATTACCTGTCCACAGGGTAGTTGAACAGTTTTACACCCCCACTGGCAGTTTTGAGAGTTCGGGCTGCCCACATCTCTGTTACCCTTGGTATCGTCCGGGGTGTAAGTTGTGGCCACGCCCCTGGTGGGAGGCCGTGCCTCACTGTGAGTCTGATCTGCATCCCTGGACTCAGGCTCCAGGTGCCTCTTGGTCATCAGGTTCCACGCGCCTCTCTCACAGGTGGCTTGCCCTCTGCTATTTAGTTAGAGGAGCTATTTATATAGTCTGAATACGAGTCTTTTTTTTTAACTTTCTTTTTTTAAATTAATTTATTTTATTTTTGGCCGCGTTGGGTCTTCGTTGCTGCGCGCGGGCTTTCTCATTGCGCGTTTCTCGCGCGCGGGGGCTACTCTTCGTTGTGGTGCGCAGGCTTCTCATTGCGGTGGCTTCTCTTGTTGCGGAGCACGGGCTCTAGGCGCGCGAGCTTCAGTAGTTGTGGCATGTGGGCTCAGTAGTTGTGGTGCACGGGCTTAGTTGCTCTGCGGCATGTGGGATCTTCCCGGACCAGGGCTCGAACCGGTATCCCCTGCATTGGCAGGTGGATTCTTAACCACTGTGCCACCAGGGAAGCCCTAAATGGTATGTTTTAAATTTCATTTTAAATTGTTTGTTGCCAGTATGTAGAAACACAAATGATATTTGTGAATTGATGTCATGACTTACGACCTCGCTGAATTCACTTCATCCAGTACCTTTTTTTGTAGTTTTTTTATGTTTTGTTCTTCTGAGAATAAAGACAGTATTTCCTCTTTCTTTCCAAAATACATAAATGCCTTTGTTTGCACTTTTTCTTGCTTGTTGCACTGCACAGAGCTGAGCAGAGGTGGTGAGTGTTGGGGAAAGCATTCCCTTTAAGCGTTAAGTGCCATCTCTGCCATCTCCGCTCTTGGGTTTTGTAGGTGCCCTTTATCAGACTGAGGAAGTTTCCTTCTATTCTTAGTTTGCCAAGTTTTTATCACGGGTGCTTGTTTTTATGGGTCTGTCGGGATTGTGTGATTCTGCTCCTTTATCCTGTAATACGGTGAATCACACTGAGTGATTTTAAAGTAACATCAAACATCACCTTCTTGGGATGGACTCATTTGCCTGTGTCATGTGGCCCTGTTTCTGTGTCATCTGACCCCTTGGGTTTGAGCAAGGTGGGCCATGCTTGTCCTTTCTTGAAATGTAGGCAGGTTTGTTTGCCGCCTTCAAAACTGAATTGGAAGGTGCTACTGCTTTCCCTGTTCTCTGGAAGGTTCCAGGTGGTTTGTGTTGTTTTTCCTTATATGTTTAATACAGTTCACTAATAAAACCATCCGGACATGAAATTTTGTGAGGATTTGAAAATTAAAGATTCGGTTGTTTTGATGGTTATTAGACTCCAGGTTTTCTACTTCTAGCGTTGGGTCTGGTAAGTTATGTTGGTCTAGGGATGTGTCTATTTTATCTGATTTTTCCTACTTAAGCCACGAAGCTCACACTAGCTTCTTACCTTTTTAATTGGAGCATCTGTACAAATGTTCCCTTTCTCAGTCCTGATATTGGTTATTAAGACCTTCTGTCTCCCTCCTCCTCCCTCTTTCTCTCCCTCTCCGTCTCTGTCTCTTTCTCCCTCCCCCTCCACTCCCCGACCCTGTCCACCTCTCTCTGTCCCCCCCTTTTTACTTTTATGGACCAGTCTTACCTGAATTCGTCCTTTCGAGGATCCTCTCTATAGTGTTTGTCTTCTGGTTCATTAATTTCTGCTCTTTATTATTTCCTTAATTTTACTCTCTTTGATTTAAACTGTTCTTTCTTTCCTAACTTACGGGCCAGCAGACATTGTCTGTGAAGGGCCAGATGGTAAGTCCGTGACCTCGGCAGCCAGTGCGGGGCAGGGGAGGTCAGCTCTGTGTGTGCTGACCCTTTGGAGGCAACGTGCCTTTTTGTTCTCAGTCTGGTCTAAAGTTTTCTTCATCTTGAGTTTTCAACAATGTAGGAATTTTTTTTTTTTTTTAAGTTATGCTCAGCAATTAGAACGCTCCTTGAACCCGAGGCTCAATGTCAATCATCAGTTCTAGAACTTGGGTGTTGCTTCTGTCCACTTCCACTGTCTGTCCCTCCTTCTGGCTACAGTCACACGCTCTCTTCTGCTCATACATGCTATTTCTGGTTGTGTGGTGGACATCACACACGAACAGTGGCCAGAATGGTCTCAGCCTGCGCTGCTTTCCGGTGGTGGCTCGTCTGGCCCTGGGGGCTGCGCTGGGGACCTCCACCTGCCTCCCCACCCGCCCAAGTCTGTTCAAAGCCTGTTGTTTCGGCTTCACAGCCTCCCAGACGCCAGTGGGTGGAGGAGGCTGAGTGCTGGCTGCCTCTCGAGAGCGTCCCCCTCCCTCTCTGAGTTGGCATCTTTGCCCCTCTCTCCGTGGCGTGTGTAGGACTCAGGCACTGAGGGGTAGGGTGGAACGGGACGGCCGTCCCCGGTGTCCTGGCAGCCCGGCGGCGCTGACTGCCTGCTCCATCCTTCTGTTGGCGTAGAGGCTGTGCCCAGGTGGGCATCATCCGGGCCCTGACGGAGGGCGGCATCCCTGTGCACGTGCTCGGAGGGACGTCCACCAGGGCCTTCACGGGCGCCCTGTGCTCTGAGGAGTGGAATTACAGCCAGATACGGATCCGGGCCAAGCAGTGGGCTGAGGTGAGGGGCCCTGCAGGGCCGGGGACGCAGGAGGGCATCGAGACAAACGTGGCTCTGCAGGGCTCTGGCCTCAGAGCGTGGCTTGTTGGGGCAGGGAGGGCACAGAGAAGCAAGGGCGTCAGTGTTGTGGGATGGGCTCCAGTTCATGCCTGGTCTTAAGTTGTAAAGGTGACTGAGGAGAGGTTAGTGCACCCACAATTCCCCGCATTTCCACGCCCACCCCACAGGGCCATGGGGGCACCAGTGCCGGTAGGCAGGCAGGGGGCAAGGCCTAGGTTGGGGCCCTTATTGGGGTTTCTGTGGGAAGGGCAAGGCGGGGCAGGGCACACAGCTTAATATCTGCCTGTTTGAATAATTCCGGCGGGTTTCTGGGCATAGTTGCCTGGCATCTGGCCCTGGGTGATTCAGGCTTGGGGTGTGGGTTAGACAGAGGTGGTCAGGTATGGGCTCCGGAAGGACTGGGTGAGCCCAGGTCTGTCTCTCTCCCCCGGCGTGCGGGACCCCAAATGCCAGAGCGTCAGGGACACAGAAAGTAAGAAATATACATTGTTGGTACAGTTGGCCCTGCAGTGAACAGACACCAGGGGACAATCCAGGATCTGGGGACCCACCCGGGGCAGGCGGGCTGTGGGCAAGGGAGGGGGCGGGCTGCAGTCTGCCCTTCTCAGGGCTCTGCTGGTTTTTTGTGGAGCAGAATGGAGCCCTGGCTGAAACCAAGAGTGGGCTCAGAAGTGTTGGCATTCTCATTTTTAAAAGGAAAGATGGGCCTCCTCTGAGCAGAAGCTCTCAGAGCAGGCCATCTGCCCAATCCACAGATCCCCAAGGCGCCCAGTCTCCCTGGGGGCTGCGGGCTGCTTGGCTCCGGTCACTAAGGACAGCCTCCGAGGGCAGTGGCCGCGGGGGACAGTGTTCTAGCCTCAGCAAGGGTCTGCGTGCAGGTCGGGCAGAGCTCTCCCACGGGTGTGGGAATAGCCAGGGGGCTTCAGGCGTCATGTCCTGCCACCCTGAGTTTGCGCTGGGCCAAGGGAGCCCACTGGGCAGCCACCCTGTGGGGCATGGGGCATGGACCCCCCAGGCTGCTCTGTGGTCCCACCTGTTGGCACGTGGAGGGGGCGTGGTGGGGTGGCTGCGGTGCTGGGCAAGGGCCTCCTCGGGAGTGAGGGCCTTGCTGCCCGCAGAGGACACCGGGGATGTCCCAGGCTGTCCTGGTTCCCTGTCCTCCAGGGGCACGTGTGTGCTCTTCTGCTTGTCCACGAGTCGTAGTGAGAGCGGCTGGGGGCGCGTGACTCACCCCCAGCTGGGGGCCCACCCCCACTTACAGCCCGTCCCAGCGTCTGTCCACACAGAGGCAAGGAGGACCCTTTCTCTCCATCCCTGACCCCTGAGGAGTCAGGCATTCTTGGTCCTGTGTCCTATGCTCACAGGTCTCACTGGCCCCCATCCTCACTGAGGAAGGATGGGCCTCGGTCCTACCAGAGATCACAGGGCTTTGGCAGTGAGGGCCCGTGGTAGGGCTGCTGCTTCCCGGGATCAGAGGGGGTGGAGTGTCTGCCGCAGTGGAGTGTGAAGGCCAAGCCCGGGCCAGCCCGGAGGGGCAGTGGTAGACACTCAACTGGCCCTGGTCCTGGATGGGCCTTGTCCCAGTCAGCCTTGAGCCATCCCCGCTGAGCGGGCGGTGAGGGCCCAGCTGGCCAGGCCTGCCCGGGGTCAGCAGGCGTTCCCCTGGGACCTCCAGGCCCTGCCATTCAGGCCACAGTGTTTGCTTCCCACAGGCTTCTGTTTGCAGAAAGCCCACGTGAGCGCCCAGGTCCCTGCTCCCTTCTCCTGACGCAGGCTCTTGGTGGTCCCCCGGGGTCGCCTGCTGCCGGTGCCCGGGGTGGGGAGGCGGGGAGTGAGCCCCTTCTCCTCTGCAGAGGCCTCACACGGGCCCCCATGTGCCACCCCCCAGGATGTGACGTGTTCTCGGGGGCTGGCTTCAACAGAAGCATCTGCAGCGTCTTCAAGGAGAGGCAGGTCGAGGTGCACTCCCTGGCAGGGACCACCTGGGGAGCCCCAGCAGAGCCCACGGCCTCAGCCTGCTTGGGTCTGGACACCCTGGGCCCACAGGCTCGAGGGCTGGCAGCCGGGGGTGGCCCCTCCAAGTCCCGCTCCCCTCACAGGACCTGTGGGTCGCCTACTTCACTGTCTCCACGGACATCACAGCCTCTGCCCTGCGGGGCCACAGACGGTGAGCACCTCCTCCCGGGGTGCAGGCTCCCCAGCGGGGGCAGAGTAGCTTCAGGGGAGGGGCGTTAAGGGGCCAGCTCCAGGCCAGGCCCGGGGAAGCCCCAGGATCTCCCAGAGGAGGCAAGAGGCCCGGGGAGATGTGAACAGAGATGACTCTGCTCTGGGCCTGAAGGCTGAAGGGCGCACAGGGAGAGGTAGAGATGGGACGGGGGCAGAGGGGCAGACTGAGGGCCTACGTGGGTCACAGCTGCGTGTGGGATGGAGCAGAACGCCGAGGAGAGAGCCCATCTGTGGGTGGGCGGCTGAGGCCCTTCTCCAGGCCAGAGTGTTTTGGGAGCCCCTTGAAATGTGTCTGCTTAGAAGTGAGTGGGGTGGCAGGGCTGGCAGAAGCTCACAGCAAGGGGAGATGTGGGGAGACCCAGAGCAAGCCCGGTCCCCCTGGGCTCCGTCTGAGGGGGAGGATGTCCAGGAAGGGTGTCATCTGCCCGGGCCTGGTGCTCTCTGCCAGAGGCCAGACGTGCAGGGCTCAGGACCCATGTCGGCGAGGCTCTGAGCTGAGGGTCCTGGGCAGGAACTCACCCTGGGCAGCGAAAGGTTCCTTTCCTCTCCCCCGATCCCTCTGGACCCCCTCCCAGGCTCCCTGTTGAGGTACGTGCGTGCCAGCATGTCCCTGTCGGGCCACATGCCCCCGCTCTGCGACCCCAAAGATGGACACCTGCTGATGGACAGGGGCTACATCAACAACCTCCCAGGTACTGAGGCGGATGGGGGGCAGCCGCCCGGCCCCGCCTCAGCCCCACCGCTCCTGCACGCCGGGGCTTACAGGCGTGCGCACGCTCGGCGCCGCGTGCTCCCAGCAGATGGCTCTATTTGTCGGCTCAGCAGTGCTCCGAACCAGGCCAGGTAGAGGGGCCGGCCGCAATTAGGGCCCGTCTGCCCACAGTCAGAACTAACAGCCTGCAGGTGTCGGGTCTGCTGTGGGCAAGGCCCCTCCTGGGGCACACCTGTCACCTGTTGGACAGCTCTGTGCGCTTGGCCGACCCCCTCCGCAGGCCCAGGTGTGAGGGTGGAGAGGAGACCCACCCCACCCTCCAAACCCTCACCCCCATCCCCCCACTCTCAGCGCCTCTCAGGCAGGCTCTGCCCCCAGCCCTGGCTCCACCCCAACTTCCCCCAGCTCTGACCCATCACCCCAGCCATGACCCCACCTGGGGCTCTGCATACCTGTCCCCACTGGTGACCAGGCCACCTCCTCCCCAACAGATGTGACCAGGTCAATGGGGGCAAAGCTGGTGATTGCCATCGACATGGGCAGCTGGGATGAGACAGACCTCACCAACTACGGGGATGCGCTCTCCAGGTGGTGGCTGCTGTGGAAGCGCTGGAATCCCTTGGCCACGAAGGTCGAGGTGGGGGCCCAGTCCTGCCTACCCCAGCTGTTCCTCCCCACATCCTGGCGCCTGTGTCCCTGAGACCCTGAGATGGGCAGGGAGGGGGTGCGCCTTCCAGGCTCTGGGTCCAGGAGGGTGGTGGTTGGTCACTCACCATCCCTGCCCGCCTGGAACCAGCTCTGGGAAAGGAGCCAGGCCTAAAGGCTCCACACACCCCAGGACCCCTGGCTGGGTGCCCAGCCTCCCCCCAGGCCTAGCAGAAATTGCCTCCCCTTGCGGGGAGGGGAGGGGAAGGAAGGGCCAGGGCAGAAGACTCAGTGGCTGTTCCCAGATGGAGGCCAGGGGCCACACGGGGACAGGAGAGCCACACTCAAGGGCTGTGACACGGCAGGTGTTGAACATGGTGGAGATCCAGACGCGCCTGGCCTACGTGTGCTGCGTCCGGCAGCTGGAGATGGTGAAGAGCAGCGACTACCGCAAGGACCTGAGCCCCCCGCCCCCATCAACAGCTACGGCACCCTGGACGTCAGCAAGTTCGACGAGATCTGCGTGAGTGTCCAGGCCGGCTGCCCCTCCCAGGCCTCCCTGCTCTCGCGTCCCGGTCACTGGGTTCCCAGTGTGTGTGCAGGTGGTGGGGTACCAGCATGGCCGGACAGTGTTTGACATCTGGGGTCGCAGTGGCGTGCTGGAGAAGATGCTGCAGGACCGGCAGGGCACGAGCAAGGTGAAGGCGCGCGATGTGGGTGCCTGAGTTGGCGCCCCTCGTTCCTCTCCCACTCCTGTGACCCGTCCTCTGCTGCCCAGAGTCCAAAAGAGAGGCAGGGCTCCCTGCAGCCAGCAGCACGTTGGCACACCCTCTCAACTGCTCGGCCTGCAGGTTCCCCTGCCCCGCCCCAGGGGCCAGAAGACAAAGGCAAGGGCAGTGGCCCTGGGGGCTGTCTCTTGGCCTCTGCCCCCCTTTGACTCTCCACCCTTGAAGTGCTCACGTGGGAGAGGATGTCACTGTGGGTGGGGGGCTGCTCAGGACTCTGCTTGTCATCCGTGCCCCACCCGCACTCCAGGGCTAGGACCACAGAGGGTCATAGAGAGAGTGGGGCCGGCTGCGGTCAGGGGCTTGGCCAGATGTCTCCTTCGCCTCTGCCCCCCACGTGCTCACCTGCCCCAACGCCTCCTTCACGGACCTCGCTGAGATCGTGTCACGTATCGAGCCTGCCAAGGTGGCTGCAGCGGACGGTGAGTTGGACCCTGGGCCATATGCCCACACAGCTGAGGATGGTAGTGGCAATGTCCCCTCCTGACCCTTGACACTCTCAATAAGCCACCCTGGCCACCAGGCTCCCTCTAGCAGCCTCTGGACCCGGTAGGCTGCATACAGGGACCCATGCCGGCCCCTGCCCCTGCTCTCAAGAGGATACCTGCATGGCCCTGCTCTCTGCCCAGATGAGTCTGACCACCAGACCGAATACAAGGAGGTGCTGCTGGGCGGCCCCAAGCCGACCTGGGCTCCGACTCAGTGAGCTGCCCGGACACCCTGTGCTCCCCAGCTGAGCTGCCAGCTCCAAGGGCTCCAAAGCAGGCCAGCTGCTCCCTCCCTGCTGCCCTCCTGGCTTGCCCCCACCTTGACGTTGACCGTGTGCGGTTTGCTTCCAGGAGGACGAGCCCTCGCTTCGGCATCGGC